AACMTAAGGAGTATCTCTTGTATACAGAGAAAGTTGTTTGTTGGTTGGTTGGTTTTGTCTACTCTAATATTCTATGCTTTTTGATTAGAATATTTCACCTATTTATATTTAATATAATTATTGAGAATATGCAATCTGGTTTTATTTTGAGCCTTTCATTGGCAAATTTATTGGATCACCTTATGGTTGGCACAATTAGATAATTTTACTTTCAAAGTAGAACTTAGTAAGCTAATTAACTGATATACTTCCTAAAGAAGGATTTTAAAATTCTTTTTATTTGTTCCAATTACTTATACATAATAGTAGAATGTATTTTGACATATTATACATATATGGAGTATCACTTCTCATTCTTCTGGTTGTACATGATGTAGAATTGCATTGGTCATGTAATAATATATGCACATGGGAAAGTAAAAGTCTGATCCATTCTACTGTCTTTCCTATTCCCATTAGCCCTCCATTCCCTACTTTCCCCTTTGTCTAATCCAAGTTACTTTGATTCTTCCCTACCTAACTCCCTCATTGTGAGATAGCATCCACATATCACAGACAACATTTGGCCTTTGGCTTTGGGGAATTGGCTTATTTCATTTAGCATGATAGTCTCCAATTCCATCCATTTACTGGCAAATTCCATAATTTCATTTTTCTTTATGGCTGAGTAGTATTCTATTGTGTATATWTAACAAATTTCTTTATCCATTCATATGTTGAAGGTTTCCTAGGTTGGTTCCATAGTTGAGCTATTGTGCRTTGAACTGCTATAAATATTTATGTGGCTGAATCACGGTTGTATGCTGATTTTAAGTCCTTTGATTATAAAACTAGGAGTGGGATAACTGGGTCAAATGGTGGTTCCATTTCAAGTTTTCTGAAGGATCTCCATAGTGCTTTCTAGTGTGGTTGCACCAATTTGCASTCCCACCAGCAATATATGAGTGTACATTTTCCCCCACATTCTCATCAACATTTACTGTTACTTGTATTCTTGATGATTGACATTCTGACTGGAGTGAGATGAAATCTCAGTGTGGTTTTAATTTGCATTGATGCCAATTTAATTTCAATAATATACAAAATGTTTGCTCCAATATAGCTACATTCATCCTCTTCCTTCTTTTCAATTATGTCTTTATACATCATAAACTGAATCTTTATTATTTTATGCAAGTGTCTTTTAATTTAGATATAAGAAATAATTACACATAAAATACATGTACACCATTTTTATATTTACCTATGTATTCACCTTTACTGGTGCTCTTTATTTCTTGGTGTGGACTTGAATTACTGCCGTCATAATTCTGCCTTGCAATTGTGATTGACTATTTCTCACACTAGACTTATTTGTTATCACTTAACATTACTGTGTTAATTTTAAATTCTCCAAGAAGAATATTAAAAAATAAAAAGAGACATAAGAGGGTAAGAAAAGAGCTGGGAAGTAGAAGGTCTTTCAAACTCTTCTGAAAGTAGAAATATAGTCTCAGACCCAAGTATACACTATAGTTCATCCCAAATGCCTCTTGCAGTACCAGAAACAGTATGTGCTTAATAAATATTTATGAGGTGAATTAACAAAAGTTCATGCAGTCTYGAAGATTGAAGTGTTGTTAAACTCTCTGAAGGATCAGAACTGGAAATAATGCTGACACTATGCACACAGGGCCAAGCAAGCCAAAGTTAACAAGTTCTTAAACAGAAGATTTTAGAGAACAGTCTGTTGAGTTTTCTAAGTCATATTGTCAAAAAAAAAAAAAAAGTAAGTAACTGATTTCAGCAAAGCAATAGCTAATTTTTTTAATGAGGCTTAAAGTTCTTGAGAAAGTTGAACAAGGGCACACAGTTCACTTACTAATAATCTTATGCTTACCAATTCAAAAGTATATAACAGATTCCCTCCATCTCTGTAATTTTAAACAAATAGGACAGGCCTTCATTTGATGGCTCACTTGATGTAGCCTATGGCACACATAATGCCTTACAACTCTGTTTATAGACACTAGCAGTTGGAAATTGAGAGTTGCTCAAGCAGAATTCTACATAATTACCCATTTGGGGTTAATTTACTTTATTGTGGCTGCTAAAGTGAGCTCAGCTGAATTTGCCATTTTCCATTCCAATCTGTTTTGTAAATGTTTTTACTTTCACAGCCCAGGCATTTTACTGCAATCTTCTGAATCATGTGGTTCGCACTAACCAGGACAGTTCATCAACAAGAATGTGGATTATTTCTGAACCTCTAATACAATTTTGAAGTATTTTAGAGTTCAGGCAATTGTGAACTATAAGCTGAATTAAGTTATGAAGACATAAATTGTTTGGGGTTTGGTAGTCATTAATTTATTCAAAAATGGTTTTGGAATACTTTCTATGTGAGGCATCACATAAGGAATGGGGATACAATGGTAGCAACGCAGATCTACATACCACCCTTAAGGTGTTTTAAATGAATGTTAATTTATAAATAAATAAGAAAATATGAGTTTCTATTATGCATAATGCACTAATGAGTAAAAATGTGGAAGGGGATGCACTTAACACTGAACAGTTTTAGCATCTCAATCTAAATAAAAATATCTTCATTACTCTGTGCTCACTGAATATTTTTTCTTCCACAGTAATTTTTTCTAGGTTTTCTTAAAACATCTCTGAGTTAACTGGGCAATGTATTCTTCCACGTCCCCCTTCACTTAAATCCTAAATACTTTCTCATATCTTCTCACTTTTTATCTAAAGCATTTATTGAGCAACAAATATGTATTGAGCATTGTTAATTGTAGTGATACAAACATGAAGGCTATAGTGTATTATCTTAATTGAATACAGTAAAAGAGTCATTATAAGGTAATTTACAAGTGCTATAGAAGAGGTTCATTTAAAAAAAGGCAGTCCTATTCAACAATTCAACACATTATTTTGGAAATATAAGCAGAATTGGTTGAAAAGCCAAATAACAGCATATACTATTAAGATATTTTATTTAATGAGCAGTCTCTATGCTTTAGGTCCTTAATTAGTCTAACGTATGTAACCAATCTGTGAGGTGGATGCTATACAACTCCACTCTAAAGATGAAAGTGAGGCACAAAATAATAAATAAATAAGCCATTGACAAGATTATGTAACTACTAAGTGACATTGTCAGGGTGTAAAATTCATGTTGTCTGGCCTTTGGGTCTGTCATTTTTACTTCTTTATACTATAGTATTCCAGATTTTCCACCCCTCAGCTTGCAAAAAGATCCCTATGGCCCTGTGACCTTCTGTGTCTTTAGTAAGGCATGCTTCTCTTCTTCATGGTCAAGATTATACATACAAGTTTTGGCTATTAAAAAGTAAGGAGGCATAACATACGCCACCTCATGGCAGAAATTTTCATTTCTTCCAGCTTTCTGCTCCTTCTCTCAGCCCCAGCATGCCATGTCTAAGGAAGAACTGTTTACTCAGATGGGAGTACAGCCATGGCAAATCCCCAGTACTGACATGAAACACGAGTGACACAGAACTGTTGCTGCAAACCACATCCACCTTTTTATAGCACAATAATCACTGAAAACTTACCAACACAATTATACGCCCCAGGAAGTGGGATGCTACATTAACAAAACACCATGAAATATGTGGCCTTGGCTTCATGGGTAGGTGGAAAATGTTGAGGAAACTCACTGGGATCAAGAAAATCACCACTCATGTTTTACAATGGTTCACATTTTGGGATTTTTTAGTTAAAAAGGTTGGGGAATGGAGTGCTAATAAACTTTGCTATTGTTTGCACTTAAAGGTCATAAAAGAAATGGCTTCTTAGCAAAAAAAATTGAGAAAAAGAAAACTTGGAAATCATACAATATATTTGGAAGATGCAAGTATTGCTCATATCTAATCAGTATATACACAATCTTAAAAAAAAATGCTTTGAATAATGAGAGTCGAATAAAGACCCAACCCCAAAGACCAAATAATAGGTTTGTGAAATCCTTTTAACAAATTAAGATGGTCCTGATAAGTTCTTTCAGTTCAGTAAAATATGTCAAAGAAAACAGAWCAACAGCATGGCTTTTCACTAACCTGATAAACTCAATATAATGACAATAATTTTAAATAAGGACAAAAATACATTTAAAAAATACATCTTTAAGAAGTGTGTCATTTTAAGATACAACTTACAAAATATAGAAGGCTGACCCATAATCTTTTTCTGTGCCTTTATAAACCACTGAAGGTATGTGTTAGTGATTTCATTCAAATCATCAACTTAACACTTCAATACTTACATGTTGTAGGCCTTGGATTCCATACCCCTTCACTATGTCTTATTCTGCTTCCCTGTACTTATATAATTAAGGTGATTTTCAACCTGCATCTGACTCTGCCCCTTCCAATGTGTTACTCAGTGACATAAAAGAAGCTTTTAGCTTCTTGCAAGACAAGTGTGAGAAAGATCCGTGATGAATGTTTGGTGAGTGAATAATTGAGTGAAGCAATACAAGCCTTTGCCAACACAGCTGAATTATCTAACAGATTGCAATAACTCAACTGGGAATTATTAAAGTTTTTAAAAATCTAAATGAGACCTGATTCTTCTACCCTTCTAAAAATGAGATCTCTGAAGTTGGAGATTTAACCCATTAGTTAAAATGTAAATCTTATTTTAAAATATTACCTTCTAGATATAGTCTCAGGAAAATTTAAAGAAATTTTTATTTGCTTCTTCTCAAAAGAACAAAATTAATAATGTTATTCCAAACAAAAATCAACCCAATCACTGAAGTTACTGAAGTTAAATTTTGGCCATAAATTTAAATTCCTTAAGACAACACTTAAAATATTTCCTAAATATCACTCTAAAAAAAGTCAAGACATATACTTCCATGGCTAAAGCCTCATTATTATTGAACAAATGATCCTTTGCTGAGCATGGTATGGGGCACAATGCATTCTTAAATTTTAAGCACTTCCTAAAGAAAACACATGCAAATATTTGGCATTACATACCTGTCGGCACCAGAGTTTCCGGAATATTTGCAGATAAGCCAACACCATAAGACACAGGGGTGCCATGTATGTCACAAGAAAGAAACAGATGTGATACATCTTGGGGTAAATTTCACCTGGGATGAAAGTTAAAATAATAAAATCTTATGTTAAAATTGATGAATTTTTAAGATAGTTCTCTCAACATTTTTCCTTCAGAGTCTGCATTTAGTCTTCTTATGGTTTCATTAGCATATTTCATATAGATATAAAAATAATTTACAATATTTACTTAAATTTACTCAGTGTATGTGTATACATATACATGTATACATATACCAAATGTGAAGTTGTGATTTCACTTTATGTACTTATTAGCCATTCCTAATTTGTGCTACCATAATCTATCCAAAATCGAATATTCCTTTATTGAAAGGCCTTTATTTCACTAAGTGCAAAACATTAATTGGGGTTGTTATGTTTCCATTTACAAAAAGGGACTTGACTTGGTCAAAGCCTAATAAGGAAATCTTTGGATAAAGTGGGAAGAGAATATAAGCTCAGTTGATTCCTTCTCATTAGAATACAAATTCCCTGAGAAATTGGGAGGTTGTTTCCCATTGTCTTGAATGAAATATCTAAAACTTTCGGAAAAATAAATACAATAAACATTTGATGATTCTTTTTGTTTACTTACTGTAACACATACAAAACTTCTCTTAAAACAGAACATCTCTGTGTGTGTGTGTGTGTGTGTGTGTGTGTGTGTGTAGAAGAATATATGCATGCACTTTCAATGAAAATGAGAAGTTTAGAGCTTTTTAAAGTTAATTTTTAATCCAACATGGGATTTTTCTTTATTATAACCATCTCACTTTTTAGGAATAAGTTCCTTTAGGCTTGTAGTGATTTTAAAAATTTATCCTTAATCTAAATACACCAATGATGTTTATTACTAATTAGACATTTCACTGAAGAGTTGATTAATTAGTTACTTAATGGCATTATACTGTTAACATTATACCATTTCTAAAATACTTCTATCACTGACCTTTTATTTTGTTGTTGCTTTGTGGTGCTGGGGATCAAATGAAGGATATGCATATGCTGCACAAGCACTCTGCCCTATCACTCACTGCCTTTTTAAATGCTATAGAAAATGTTTTCCCTACGCTAGTATTTGGATATATCACAGAYATACCTACTATAACTGTAATGTAAAATAAAACAGTATATATTACACAGATAAGATTCATATTAAACCTAAAACCTCAATAAAATTGTAAGTGGATGCTAACAAAACAAAGTTATTATCATTTCCTTCTAAAACCACATGCCTTATTTTGACCTTRATACGGCAAAAGGGTTACTTCCATACTATTACAGAGAGGTAGTGCTATCCCCTCCATGAAATATTCTCTTTATTTACTTCAGAAAGGATATGAATGATGAAAGATTAATTATGTGATCAAAATTCTGATAAGGGAAATTTATTGTCAGGATTTTCCAACATTAAGTCTGATAATGACCATAATAATGGATAACATTTATTTGGCAATCATCCATTTTATACTTACTGAAAATATTTTAAACCTTACTATGCATTTAATATTCTCCACATTCTCTATTCCATAGTTTGTCGTCCTGAGTTGGTTGAACTTGAGTCGAATATTCTCTGTATTCTCTCTTCTAAAACTATCTTATTTCTCTGTTTTTTCTTCACTGTAATCTTCTGAAGGAACAGCAGGATGCATGTGCTGCTAGGAGGTCTAAGAGACCAATTTGAGCTGTCATTTTTAGCTCTGTCTGGCCCAGAAGGCACTCACCTAACTCATCAGTTTCTAACTTCCTTTCAAGTTTATCCTGTACAACTGGCCAGTGACATAAAAAGTGATAGAATTCAAGCAGCCTGACTGGAGGAATAACAAATAGTATTTCCCTTTGAAGTGCTACAGCCTGAGATGCATTTGGTGGGCCAATTTCAAAGGAATTGGAAGGTGACCTCAGCACTTTTCAGGCACCTAAGTGGCTTTGAACTTTTATTTGTTTTGAAGAAAGTGTCACATGAGCTTTCCACATTAGAAAACAAAAAAAAAAAAATTATCTTTGAAGCTTACTTACCTGTGAAGCCCTGATGTCTGCATTAGACTAAATTGACTGAGGGAAGGAAAGTAGATTTTATAGCTAACTTTTAAAAAATATCATCACTGTGAAAACAGTTTTGGGTTTTGAACAGATGGGTGCAAAACCTTATTTTGCAGCTTAGTGTACTTATGAATAGTTGGAAAATTATGTAATTGGCTAGTAAATGCATATTATGATAATGAACACTGAAATGGAGATCAGTTGATCAAGCAAAATTATATTTCCAGGCAAGGATAGATTGTTTTAATAAGGAGATTATAATAGATAATTGGGGAAACATGATAGTCTTAAATTCCTCATTTTGTGCTGAGAGCACAGGCCAATAGGAAACCCACATATGCCACTGAAAATTTAAATTGTACATTGAAAATATCTCTGAAACCTTTCTGTAGTAGATAAAGTAATGTCTTCTAAACATTATATGACACTTATATATAACCTAGAATGGAGCTGTATAAAATGATAAGCAATGTCTTCTAAACATTATATGACACTTATATATAACCTAAAATGGAGCTGTATAAAATGTGTTTCCCTGGAGGACTATTTCAATTAGAAATCAGCATTTCAAAGATGGACAACCATTAAAAAATCTTTGTCTCTATTCACTTGGTGGCATCTACAATCTAAATAAATTTTTTGCATAGGTAGGTATGTTTCATATATGTTTATACACACATATACATATCTAACAAATAAGGAACAAATGAAGTTCTTAAAGCCATCTTTGAAATCAGAGATTAAAGATTCCTGTCATATTATTAAATTTGACCATTATTTCAAAACTCATGGGTCCATTTAATGTACCTGAATCTTTAATATGCTTTATTATCTTCTCCTCTAACAAATGTTTTTAATAAATGTTCCAWTTAATACACACATGTACATATTTAAATGCTTTGAAAGCCTCATAATAAGCTACTCTTATAGAAGAGTGCCACTATTTTTTTCAGACCATCAAAGAATAACTTGTAATATTCAAGAGAAGAGCTATTCATCAATCCCCAGTGTTCAGAACCATGTTTGACTAACAGTACATGTTCATTAAAGATTTGCTAAATGAGTAGTGAAGTGATTATTTTTCTGACTGTGCAAAAAGAAATAACTTCCTTTTCAATAGATTTTTATCACGTGGAACCATGAATTTACAAACCAAGCCTTCAAGAAAGTAGGAATATAATTCTGAAACAATTGTTTTAAACCTTAGGAGTATGAGTTGATGTCAGTGGAGCAGTGAACACATACAAAGAGAAGAGCTATTCACCAAGATCCTTAAAATCAGTAGTATGAATATACTTCATATTTACTTAAGTATACATGTGTCTATCAGAATATGTGGTTTACAGTCAATTTTTAAAAAACAAACAAACAAAATATTGGCATGATGACTATTATTTGTTTCAGAAATCATTTATTCATAACAGTTATATGTTCTGTATAATATTTCCATTGAGACATGATTCCAAGTTATTTTTTACCACATGTAAAACAGGATTTGCTGGACTTTCTCAGAAGAAATTTGATAGAGATAAATCAACTGGCCACATGGTTTTTCTGACTTTTTCTCCACTGTGATATTGGTTGTAGGAAAATTAAATATCACTGTTTACTTTTATAATTGTATTATTTGTTGAATTTAGGAGAAAGACAAGAAAAAAACAGATTGTGAATTAATCTCAAATAAGAGTGTATTTTACAGCAAAAGTTTTAAAATTGAGTTCAAATGTATTGGGCGTTTAGAGATACTTGAATTTAGAAAAGTGACATTATAAAGTGTACTTTCCTATGGTGTTTTTAGGTTTTGACTATCAGACATATCCCAAATTTTAACATCTTTACTTGGACATAGAATTATAAATATTCTACTTGACAGGACTCATGGAATATAAAATCATTTTAATAAATGATGTATCTATAGAACAATAAGATTAGAACCTGGTTGGAATTATTTTGTATTCCTCTAAAAACATTAAGTGATTAGCAACTACATTAAATATTTAAAAAGCTAATTTATGTTTATTGCTTAAAGGCAAGAAAAAATAATGTGCCTATTTTGTCATATCAATAGTAAATTGATAGCAATAACAATAATGGACAGGATTCATAGCTTTATAACTTTTTTTGTTAGTAGGAATTAATGCTCCTTCATTACTTAGGAATACATAAGAACTTTATGTGACAGTCCATAAATATGTAATGAAACCAATACCAAAATAGAGAAGATACTCCTGACACATGTTGAATAATAACTGAGTATTTTATCATAATTTATAATCTTCATAATCTTCAAGGATACCAGATTTTGAGTTGGAAGCTTTAGATTTACATGCAGATGTGATTTTATAATCTTGAACAAATAGTTTTATCTCTCTAGCTCTCAATTTAGTCATACATTACCTAAAAGATTCTGAGCAACAAACTTGAAGCTGTTTTTCAAATATTGTTAAGGAACTGTATAAGAAACACAATGTCACAATCTGTCCTCAACATACCTTTTTTTTTTTTTTCAAATTTTACTTTTTAGCCTATCTGCTCTGTGTTCCAGAAGTGATAAATTCCCATTAGGTGGGTTCCCATTAGGTGGGGTTGCTAGTTCCTGGTACACCCCTTTTCTCTTCCAGAATTCCCACTTATTTTTAATGCTTTGCTGAAATGTTCATAACTCCTCTGTAAACTTTTGTCCAAATGGCTAGGACTAAGTTTGTTCTCTCATTTGTGTTCCTAACACTTTGACTATATTAGATTAATATAGTGATCACACTATAAATATTTGTTTATTTGCTTTTCAGCCTCACTATAATGAATATGCTCAATTAGGGAGAGTCTACTTCTCTTCAGGCTGGCAAAATTCATGGCATACTCTAAATATTCATAATGTTGTTTGAACATTAAATAAGTGGGACACAAGACATTTATGAAATACACCTACAATATTGGAACTTTCCATTCATTTTTTGGTCTATATTATTAAAGGAAAAAAATTGTAAGATTGAAGATGATCCAGAAAATAAATATGGCAAACCAATTCTGATTTTATAAAGGAAGTGTAAATCTACATTTAAAAAAAGATTACTTAATATTTGGGGTAATAAAATTTGGATGAAATTGCTGTTTTTGGCAGGTCTAATGACAATATAAGATAATCCCAGTGTCCTTTTAATTTTATATTGCTATAATGAAAGCATATTTCTCAATTACTGATTTTTCCCCTTTTGTGTTCAAAAAAAGCACCAAAGAAGAATTATCAGAAATTCAAATATTCAAACATTTGTAAACAACGTATCTATAAACAATCCTTGGGGTACACTGTCTTTTAACCCATCTTTCTAATAAGCATAACTGTGCCCTTTTCTCACAAACAAGCACTCTACTATGTTTAAGTTGCCTAAATATGAGACAGGCAATACACTTATCCAAAAGAAATCACATTATTTTCTTCCTTTATGTGATAGTTTTGTTATTGCTGTATGCTATGTGAAATGCAGGATTACTTTCTATCATTGTTTGTTATATCTAGGATTGTGCCAGCACCAGGTATAGACAAAAATGTTCCCATTCTTACTAGTTTTGAACCAAAGGAGCACTTCTGCTTATTTAAATTTTGCTATTGTACATGTCAGATGGAAAAACAGAAGTGATTCCTAATTAACATAACTCCTTGATCAGATAACATTTATTCCAATGATAAAACTCATCAACTGATGTGTTGAGAAGAGAGAAAGCAAATTGGAATAATACCACTCAGAACAATACAAGTCCACATAGTCACCTCTGGTCGTGTTCCAAGGACATGTTTCCAGGATGTGGTTTTAAATCAGACAGCAGTTGCATTTGAGGTTCATCAGAGGATTTGAAACTTGAGACAACATGAGGTTCGACCATCTTAGAAGATGCTAATTATTCTAGAATATATTTTTTATTTGTATTATTTGACTGCTTTTTAATAGAATTTAAGAAAAATGAAAATAACAAAATTTGGACTATAGAATAAGCTTCTTCTTTCATTTCCTTTCTGAAAAATTTGGACACTGGAAAATAGTGCATATAACATTTTCAAAGGACTAAGGTGGAATTATTCTGTAAAATTGTTTTGGGTTTCAACTTGGTTTTCACACTTGTGCAAAACCAAATTAACAAATACCAGTGAGATACATAAGCCCAGCTTTATAATGACTATTTTTGGTTTTCAGGTGTAATGTTAATGTCAGCTCATGGGCCATAATATGCTTACCTCCCCAGCGCTCATCACATACTGTAAATAGAGTGGTTTTATTAGCTAAGCCGGGGAGCATGGTACTGCACTCCATGACGATGGCCTGAGGAATCATTATGATGCAGGAGACAATCCAGATGATGACGATGCTATTCCGGGCCCGCTTGGCTGTGCTCTTGAACATCAAAGGGTGACAGATTGCATACCATCGATCCAAGGCAATGCAGCTCAGTGTTAGGACAGACACAGACACAGACACAGTCTAGAGGAAGAGAACAAAGTACAGGAGAAGCATCAAGTGTCAAAAGCATTGCTTATAGCATATTTACCATATTACAAAGGTAGCACAACCAAGATTGCCAAAAAGCAATTCATGTAAGTGATTTCTATTTAAGGAAAGCTACGTAAAAAAAGAAGAAAAAAAATAGAAGTCTGTTACTAACATTACTATGACGATTACTATCATGATTCTGTTTTCCCACTTAGCCATTGACAGGGGAAATCATATCCTTGGATGGACAGAAATAAAACATATATGAGTGATATGAACTGGAAAATTCTCTTTCACTTAAAGACAATAACATAACATGTCTTTCCTTTAAATCATCATGTAGGGATTTGATTGAAATTATATTCAATTTTCATACTTGAATTCTGGGTACCTCATTTCATATTTTAAAATAATAAGGGATATTTGTACTTTGATATCTAATATGTTGCATCCAAATAAAGGCATGGGTCATGTGACAAGAGAATTCTATATATGGATCTCCTTACCATAGTTTGCTTACTGTTAGTATAAACAACTTGCCTCTTAACAATCAGATTAGGTTCACCCAGTCCAGCAGTCCAGATTTCTAAATACTACCACCACAAATGATTCTTTGTCTTGGAGCTTTAAGGAAATAATAAGCATTTAATCTTATTTCCACACAAAATGTAATATGTTTAATGGATTCTTCTATACTGAATGAAACATTGATCCTGATATTAGTCTCAAAATTCACCCTTAAAAATAGAGGGTCCTTCTTATTTTCTTCTTAGTACTAGTCATATGATGGATTACTTATTTAATTTGTTCATTTGTGTGTATGCTCCATTGCAACAAAACCCTATGGCAGAAAGAATTTTTTTTTCCACAACTGTGTCCTGAAAACCTAGCACAGCATTTAAAGTGCTTTATGTAATTAACAATTTTTTACTCAATTAATAGTGAAAAGCCTCAATGTAAAGTAATAGATATTATCCAATCATTTTCCTCTTCTTTTCTGTCTTAATTGTATTGATCCCATAGTGTGCAGCAAGGATAGGTATAATTGCTTCATACATAAGGATGCTAATTGTTAATGCGTTTACTACAGGTATAAATAAATGAAAGGGGGCTAAGATTCAGTGCAGAAGAGAAGAAAGGGCTTTGGGTTAACTGTTAGGGTGAACTGGTCTATTCTTACTCTTCCACCAGTGGACTACATAACATTGGGTCACACAATATTTTACACTTTGGGCTATGTGTGTGTGTGTACATCTGTTAAATGGAAAAAAATCAGCAAGATGAGATTTCTATCAACTCTGATTCTTTTGAATCTCTTTGGGAGAGAAAGAAGGTTGTAATTGGATCAATTCTAAAACTGGGTTTCCTAGGCAAGAAGCACATCTGGTAGTATTGGGTAAGTTACTCAACCTCTTTATTCCTCAGTTTTCTCCTCTATAAAATGTGGATGATAATAGCACACAAAATATAATTGTAGAGAGAGTTAGTTGAGATCAAAATATGAGCTCCAGACCATCACATAAGTGACAGGCTTATGATTCTTGATAATTTTTTTGTGCTATGTTAGAGTGCCTTCAACTAACACNTCTCTCTCTCTCTCTCTCTCTCTCTCTCTCTCTCTCTCTCTCTCTCTCTCTCTCTCTCTCTCTCTCTCTCTCTCTCTCTCTCTCTCTCCCTCTCCTCTCTAAATTCCACTCCTCCCTTGACCTATTAAAAATGAATCAAGTACTTAGAACCTCTTGATTCCATGGCTAACCCAGGAAATCCACTATGGCAGTCTTGATCTGCAGTTGATTTTATTTTCATATCTACTGGGTCAGGGCTATATTTATCCTCTCTAGCAATTAGAAGTGTAAAGTGTTCATCAAGGCTTAGTAATTTATTATTCATGAATTTTAATCAACCTGGATGAATGAGATAGAAGTAGCATACTTCAAACTTGAATGTCATTTCTAGTATTTACCACTACTATTATATACTAATAATAAATCCATACCAGCTAACTTGAAAGACTGATGTCCAGTGCCAAAGAGGTACCCAGGGTGCAGCGCCATCTGTTTTGTATAGTGAAGGGAGAGAATATGCTGGTGTGATCCTCACAGCAGAATCCATTGAATGCACCYTTGACAATCAGTGATTTAATATTCACTCTTGCTACATCCATATTTGCAGGTGTATAAGGCACACCAGTATGCAATTAACATCCAATTTACAAGATTTTCTTGAGGGGATATAAAATTTCATCTTACCTTAAGTGATTATAAATGAGAGMTTTGTTGCTGCTTTTCACTTCTAGGAGTTTACTTCTGGGTGCCTTTTTCATTTACATGCTGATATTAGCTTGTGTCATCCTGATAGTAAGTCTTTGAGAAATGAGTCTAGTATGAATTATGAATGTTGTTGAATGTGAGATGATGGGAGCAGGTTCTGCCTTCAGGTTCTTGGTGTCACTCATCCTAGAGGCACCAATGCAGAGGGCAATGCTTGAGGACTTCCTTTGGTAGAAAAGGATCCTTTTTTATGCTAGCATAAAGGTATGCCAAAAGAATCTCAAAGGTCCATGACAGGTAGGAATAGAAATCTTGCCAAATCATAAATTTGGATGATAGGCACTAATAGATTAGAAGGTAGTAAAATATAACAACYGAAGGAGTAAGAAAGCCTGTCTTACCACCCTACATGTACCACCTACATCTCACTTGGATTTTGTTCTTTTTCTAGCAGTTCCTATGCAGAGCCCATTATACAGCGTTTTTTTAAAAAATAAATTCACTCTGAAAATAATCATCTGTTCCTGTCATTGAGTGAAATGCATGATTATTTTCAGTCAATATTCTACTAAATGTTAATGGTCTTGGAATTATAGAATTATTAAAATCTAAAAGGGTCATTTTAATTATTCAGCTAAGCTTTATTACGTTTGTGAGATTATTAAGTTGTTTGAGTCTTTGCCAAAGTGTTATAGTACATCACTCATAAATCTAAAGGTTGTATTGTATTTAGAAGAAAAAGGACACATAAATCATAGAGAATTAGTAAATGCCCTACAAATCTTAAGTGGAACCAAATAACCTTAAAACGTGGCTGGAAATTATGTAATGTTTTTAAATATTAAATAGGACATAAATATCACCTCAGAGATAAAATTCATTAGCTTCAGAATATCACATCTAGGAGAAAACTACTCAAGGTTTATTATCCATTGGCACTATTTGTGACATTTGGAAAACTTCTATGGAAAGGAAGCAATAAATATTGAGAATTCAGACGTAAGTTTTGTCAGTGCATGAAACTCTTTGTATGCTAAGAAGTGATGTTGAATGAGTGAATGGAGAGAATGAGTCATTTCCATTCTGTGGCTRCTCATTTGTTTCCTCCATGGCTTGTAGAGAAGAGAACCAACTGTGGAATCAACTAACTGGACCCTGTTTATACAGAAGTAGAACTGAGGATGCTCTTTTAACTGCAGGACTTGCAGTTAAGCATGAGGTATGGATGACCATTGTCAGTGAATTCAGGAGAGATGCCTGCTTGCATCACTTACTGGTTCCTTGCTGCCCCCCCTGTGTGTCCTTTAGTGCTTACAGGACATCTGAAATACCTGCTCCATAGCAGGGTATTGTTATGCATCAGAATAGGGCTGCACCTGCTATAAGGTGATGCACCCCTCCTCATCACTGCATTCCCCACTAAAGCTTCTGGTTCACAGAGAAGACACAAAGACACTCTTAGTCAGCTGAAGAATCTGGGTAACTAGAGCCATTCTGAAAATTACAAGAGCCCCATCATTTCCTCCTGATGGTTAWTGGCTCAAAAAATAATAAAAGTTTTCTGGAAGTACCACAGGCAGTTGAATATTGGAATTCTTTGCTCCTTAGAATTTTCCCAGTGCCTCCATGCAAATACTGTCAGAGGTACTCACTTGTCTGTTGTTCCTTTTACTATCTCTTGCAAAAACTTTGCTACAGTTCATTTTTTATAATCTGTTCATGGTTTGCAGCAGGCTGACCCAAACTAACCTTACAGTTAAACATATGTGCATGATGCTTACAACTTCTAGGGCATTTTCCACTAGTCTGCAAATGATGTCTGACCTTAAAAATTATCACTTCTCTTTATAAGAGGTCACTGAAGAACTATTGAGCTGAAAATCCCTTACAACATTTCAGTTCTAAAAGACCAAACAATATAATTTCCAGTAATGAGCTATTTGTGGTCTCCCCCAACTTTCTGTTACCAGAAGCCTATTTTCTCTTCCTGCAAATATTATTATCCCCGCCTGGAAAACTGGAGAGAATAAGACAAAAGGTGGAGGAAGACTATGGAAGACAGGTTGAATAGCCACCATTTCACTTACTGTCCAGTTCCTAAAAGGGAATTTATGTCTAAATAGTGTGGCTGTGGCCACTATCATGGGAAATTTTTTCCCCAAAGGTCTCAGAACTACAAGAAGAACTAGAAGATTACTCTCTTAAAGTATTTGTTTTTAAGGTCTTATATGGCAATTAAATATAGAAAACCTGCCCTTGCTGTTGACTAATAAAACATGCAATAACAATGTTGATAACTGAGGTTTATTGAGAACATATTATGTTTACAAGATCATCAGAGGGTAATCACTCTGCGAAGGCATTTATGTAAATTATCTAAGCAAACTGTTACAACAACATATGAGATAGATCTCATTAAAGATTTCATCCTTGTAAAATAAGTGAATTGCAAACAGTCTGAGTATTTGACTTGATAGCATGCCATTTGTGAACAGCAAAACAATTTCCAAACCAGGTAGCCCCAGAACAACACCAAAACTTGTTCACTGTAGTGCTTGACCCCCCTCTTAATTCCTCCACATGAAAAGAAACCGTTGTAAAAACAGATATCCTATTATTTGTACTGGAAGAAACTCAATCATTAATTTTTTCAAATTCCTTATTTAACAATGGTGAGATTAGAAATCAAAGAAGCCAAATACTTGTGTAACACTATAAAGATACTTTAACAGCTTTATGTCTCTATTTTGTACTCAGACCTTAACTTGTTTTTCCAGGAAAATCTCAAGTATTATCTTCCTTAAGTCTGCCAGTTCCCAGCAAAGTATAATTCTTTCTCTACTCATTAGTTTACCCAAGGCCATAGCTAGCTACTATTGAAAATATATATTTTTTGGTAGTGTCTGTGTTTGAATTGAAAATATATGTAATAAAAGAATTACCTGTAAGTAAGGGATCACTTTACAGAGGGACTGTCCGAAGAACCAGGTCTCTGTGATATCCACAACCAGCGTGGCAGGAAGGCAGGTGATGGTCACCAGCACGTCAGCCAGAGAGAGGTTGACGATGAAGTAGTTGGTCACTGTCCTCATGTGGTGGTTCTTCCACACGGCCACACAAACTAATGTAAGAAGGAAAGGGAACAGTAAGCAAGCAAAAGAAGCAGGGGTCAATAGGGAAATTCTGTCTATCTGGCTAAGACTTCTTAAAGTCCCTACATTGAATAGGCARGGTCATGAAACCTGTACTGTTTTAAACTGAACTAGTCAATCTGTGTGGATGCTGAGTTACATGCACAAAAATCTGTTCATTTGACTTGCTACATAATTTTCGATCAATCATAAGGCTGTGTTTTTTCCCACTGGATTTTGAGTTGCAGCTATCAGAACTTATAGAAAAATCTTCTATTTAGCCTCTATTTTGCCAGCACTCAGCAATGCAGAAGGGCCTCAAAAAATATTTGATAGCTAAGATGAATTAGCAGCCAGTGGTTTTCAACCAACTGTTACGGTTTGCAACATCCATGATCTTTACCCAAATCTGTTAAACTGCATTTGGAATTTCTAACAGAGAAAAAGTCTTATCTTTAAAAGTYAAGAGCCAACAATTATTCAGCCCCTACTATTGCCAAATACTGAGCTGGACTGCTCATATACTTAAGTTGTTTAATCCTCACAACATTCCTAAGGGAAGACGTCACCCACATGCAAATGTGAGGTAACTGAGACACAGGGAATTCATGAGACTTGTCTAAGAACACATGGCTCATGAAATAGAAAAATAGTTACTACTGGGATTTAGTTCCAAGTGAAAAGCTGGCTTTTTCACCACACAGGCTGCCTTCTTTCACAAAAATGAGGGAGTTGTAACAAAGCACATATAACTTTTGGAAACTCTATCCTCCCTCCTTTTTATTCTTGATGGTCTCCAAACATCAACCTCAAATCAAACCTGTTTTTCAGTACTCTCACAGCGGGCCTCCCTCATTGCCTTGTAGAACATCCCCAGTTTAAAAGCTGTGCTATCTCATTCAGTTGCTCTTTCCTAAAAGAACATCCAGTTCCCGTATTCTTGGTCTTCCACTTGTCTGGTGTGTGCAAAGTTTACAAAATCACTGGCTCCAAAATTATATAGGTGTCCATGTCTATTGATGGGTTTGCTTTACTGAAAGTAGCTGTGAATGTGTCTGGGGTATTATTAACCTATCAGAGATGTCACCCATGCACCCAAATGATACAGTGATTAGTAACCTTATAGAGGGTAGAAATAAAAGTACATTTTGTTAAACTTACATTACGGAGTAAGATTTTCTTTTTGATTAACATGTGCCATTTATTAAGAGTCTTATATTATAGGATATGCTTTTATCAGATTCTAAGGCTGAAATTGGCCATCAGCTATGAGTTGATGTCAGTTTAATAAACTACTTAGATTTCTGATGATTTCATTTTGAATATTTCACCTCTTTCTCTAACACCTGCACAGTAATACTGAGAAACTCAGGTGAGCCTTAACTAGGTAAATGATACTTTATTATTTTAAAATGATGCTGTAGCATGATTTATTTCTCATAAACACTTGAAACACACACACACACACACACACACACACACACACACACACACCCTAGGCAACTGACAAACACATTGTCACAGTTTGTAAGAAGAAAATTGGCAAAAAAACATCATATTTCTGATATTTGTTCAACATATGGCCTAAATCATGGAAACTTGGATCTAGAAAAGGACATAGGCCTTGAAAAATGCAATTAGTTCTGGTTTGACTTTCAACTCTTCATATTTTGGAGATGAGGAAAAGCAGAAATGGTAAGACTATTAATGCACAGCATCTAACCAACATTAAAGGAAGTCTATGTTCCACAAACACTCCTTTAGTACTTATTGCATGCCATGCCTGTATAAGGTACTTTAAATTATAAACTAGTTTAACAACAATAGCACCATGAAGTGAATACTATAAGCATTCTTTTCAACATGAGAAACAAGAATAGAGAAGTTAACCTAACTTTAAAAACAACAACAACAACTATATGCATGAGAGCTTCTATTTAAATCTCATCCCCCCAACATGGTCATCCTTACATACTCCTTTTTGGGAGGCAGGTACTGGGGACTGGACTCAGGGTCACTCAACCATTGAGCCACATTCCCAGTCCTTCTTACATACTTACATACATACAAGTYCTTTTTCTTGTTGAGTTGAAACCTGCTTCTCTTTTATTTCTGCTTACTCATTTTTAATTCTTTCTTAGAACCCAAGGAATAGACTTTACGTAATTTTTAAACTTGTACCTGCATTCGTCTTCTAGGGCTACTTCAAAAACTGAGCATCTTAAAGCAAGAGAAATTTATTGTCTCACAGTTTTGGAGATCATAAATCAGATACCAAGGTATTAGCAGGGCTATGCTCCCTCCAAAATCTGCAGGGAAATCTGTCTTTGCCTCTCCCCAGATTCTTAAGGTTTTCTGGTTACTTGGGTGATTTTGACRTTTTGGGCAGCTGCCTAAATGAAGTCTCTGCTTGGATCATCAGGTGTGGGTCATCCTGAGTTTCTGTCATCACATGGCCATCTTAGAATAATAACCATCGGCTGGAAAGGCTCACCCTATATGACTTCATCTTCAAAAATTATATCTATAATGACCCCATTTTCAAATCAGGTCATCTTCTGAGCTAATCAAGTTGGGACTTCATCATTTATATGGCGGCAGGGAGSGGGGAGAAGATTTCAAACTACAACAGTATTTATTCAAATATTTAAAGACCAGATTTTTTTCATTCCCTAGCCTTTGCTTCACCCTTTTAAAAGATCTCCAGAATCATTACGTGCACCTGAGGGGCTCTGTATCCCACATCACCATGGTCCTTTTGTTCTGAACACACTCCAGAGGATCAGTAATGGCTCTGAATGAACTATCTGTAACTGAACACACGTCTCCAGGTGAGACCCATCTGAAGCAGCAAGGAGCAGGATGATTTCTTGGGTCGCTCTCTATTAAGACACTACAAATCTTATAAGCTTTCTTAAGAGTAAAGTCACACTTCTTTGGATCATATATGTATCTAATGACTAGAAACTGGTTTTCTTGTGTAAATGTTACACTGTCTTTACCTTTGAATCCTCAGGAGGTAAAAAGGGGGAAAAATCTATAAAGAATATTACTGGGACAATTAGAAAAAAATGAATTTAGATTTTATGCTAGATTACAACTATACTATTTTAATATAGCTTAGGTGTTGTATTTATATTACGTTCATTTGAATATTTATATATTGTGACTATGCTTACTTACCAGGGCTTTGTTGTGCTGGGAAAAGGAATTGTAGTTTTTCATATACAAAGCAGAGTTTTGCTTATTGTCACCTGATCTATGACACATTCCAGATTATGAGTACCTTCTTCTAAATGACATATTCAAAACTGCACACACATCTCTAGGTGCAAATATCCTAAATTTTTGTTAAGCTAACATTCATTAGTTAACTCACCCATTCAAGTACAAAAGTCACAAAGTGAATACCTCCTTCTTCTGATAGCATACCAAATTGGTACAAAATWAAATTCACCTTTTCCTGAAATTGGAAATTTAATTTCTTTCCTTTTTCTTTCTACTGGCCAATGTTTGAAATCTCCAAAATATCTCCAAGCTCTATCACAATCTTTCTTTTCCTATTGCAAATACCCAATGTCATATCCATGGAACCATTAGCTACAATAGTGCAGACCACCTAATATTTTCCTCTACAGTACATCTGTCTTTATTCCTGTGTATCTTATCTAATAATGCTATTCACTAAAATTATATTATTTTGATAGGATGTCTCTTTTCTTCTCAACTAAGTATAAAACTCTCCGGTTACCATTCTACCATTGGGGGTCTTCCCCTTGTATCTGGCAATGCTCCCCATATAATATTCAGACCACCAGGATAAGTTTGATATCTCACTGTTAATCAAACATATTCTATGTATAGGTCATTGCTCATGTCCTCTTCTGTCTGGCATTGCCCACAGTCGATTTAAATCCCCTTTTCAACTAAATTAGTGCTTCCCTTTGCAATAACTGTTAATTAAATTGACTTTTATAAAATTATAGTTTGGTACTTTGGTACGATACATTCTCCCAAATGAAAAGTCTTTAAAAGGAAAGGAAAACCCAAATGACAGAAAGGAGTATTTACTTTCTCCATTTCTTTTGAATGAAATCTGAGAGTTGAGAACTCAATTGCTTCTCAATGTTCTCTTGACATAGTAGGCTATTTTTTGTCATTCTCTGTATACTGCCTTCTGGTGAACTTGGGAAAGTCCCAAGACCTGAATTGGATAGTACATTTGACATCAGTTCTGTGAATGACATCATACATCAATATTAAGGTCTGTTTGTAGTTTCTACAATTAAAAGCCTGCAGCTCTCAACCAGGAACAGGGGAAAGAAATTGAGCATGAAGAGGTGAAAGAAGGTAATAGAAGACCAGAATGCAGATTGCATGAAGATCTGCCTTAAACAAGGACTTTGTTGAATAGAGATTTCTGAAATGCAGATGTGCCAAGAAGATAAAAATGTACTTTTCCTTGTCTTATCATGTCTTTTTTTTTTTTTAAAGAATGTGATGATGTATAGCTCTTGCTTTTTGTCTGCATGACAAACAGATGGAGGTGGCTCAAGCTGCATAAGAACCTCCACAGGCTATGATTCAGAGGGATTTTTAAAAGAGCACACAAATACAATCTTTAGAAATGAACTGATCTGTTTGCTTGTTACTGTGTGGACCTAAAACTAGAAACTAAACTGACATTTAARCAGGAAAGCAAAATATGAATTTATAAAAGTTCTTTGCCACTATTGTCTACATTTATGGTAAATTTACTTTATAATAAATTGGCTTTTAAAGTCTATCAGATCACATATGGACAGAGTTAATTTTTCAAAACTAATAGTTACATGTAGAAAAAACTAAAACTATGGTGATACTATTAGTCTACTGCAATTCTGAATTAATCAAAAACATATAAACTGCATGACTAAGATTGCATATTTTATTAAACATCTATTTGGTCCTTGAAATATCATGTAATAATTTTCCATAAAACATGATTTTG